CCCCAAAACCCCAAAACCCCAAAACCCCAAAACCCCAAAACCCCTTTTCAAATTTCATATTTTGAACCTTGATTAAAAATTATAAAATGGATGACATTCACTTAGATTTCGGAGGTGATCAAGATACAAACGGTAAAATTTCTTTTACTCTCTTCATTACTCTTCCTTAGAATTATCCAGTTCCTTCAATTCTTAGTCTCTAACTCTCTAAAGCAGACAATGGACTTCCAGGTGCGCCTCTTCCCCTTATTGACTCTACAATGAAAAGAATTGAACGAGAGAAAGCAAGCAGCTTGTTTACAGCCATGTCCCAAGGAATAGAACAAGAGCAGAAATAAAGCAGGTACAGCTGCAAATGTGCTGGAAAAGCAGTGGGAAGAAGGCCCCTTGAGGAGGTTTAATAAGGAACAGAAGGTTGAGAAGGAAGAGGCCTCTGACTCTTTTGAAATGGATGTCGATCCACATTTTCTGAAGAAAGAACCTGAAGAGGACAGTGATGATGAGTTTGGCATAGTTCAAGGGAATGAAGGGCATAATTTTAAATAAGCTTGACAAAGGAAAGTTGATGGCATATGTGAAGAATGATATGTCTAACCAGGAAAGAGAGGATTACCAGAAGAAGCTCCAAGAAGCTAAGGGAAAGAAAGATAACCTGAAGAAACAGAATAATATCAAAGGAGATGTTATTGTTGAAGATGATGAGGAAGAAAGCTCAGAAGATGAGTTTGATGATGAGGAAGATAAAGGAAAGATTGATCAGATCTTTACCAACACTATGAGTGAGTTTAATAAGACTAAAAAGGAAGAACAGAAATTGCAAAAGGAAAAGGAAGCAGCTGCTTTGGCTAAATTAGATATATTAAAAGCAGAGCAATCCAAAAATAAAATAATTTCATCAGCAGGGAAAGGACTTGTTACGAATAATCTCTCATCTAAGCTTAAAAGTATTACTCAGAAGAAGGAATATGATGCTACAAAATTAGTACAGGAAGAAGCTAAAGCTGTGGTATCTAATTCAAGTTCACCATTGAAGCCTTCAGAAGAACAGAAAGAGCAAATTCCAATCATAAGGAAGAAAATCACGATTAAGAGAAAGCAAATCGGAATACTTAACTTTGCTAAATCAGCTCTGAAATGCAACCTGAAAATCCCTAATATATTCATGGATAACAAAATTCTCAATATCACAGAGATGAATTTGGAGGAGAATAAAGCTGCTCCTCAGATAATTAGAAATAATCCTGAGCCCGCTCCTCAGAATGCAGATTCTTCTCCAGCCGTGATACCAGCAGTATCTAGACAAAATGGTAATTTTCTATCTAAATTCTTGTAGATATGCAGCAAGATCACCAGAGCCAGATCTTGAACCAGCAATTTGCTGCTGAAGATCCTATGAACAAGTGGATGCAAGTAAACAAAGAAAGAGAGGGTGAAATCCAAGAAAAATTAAACAAAAATTATGATGAAGAGCAGGAAGAGCCAGCAAGCTTGATCAGGTATCTTGACGCTTGGATGGACTTCCTCACTACAGATATGTCTCCCTATCTTGATGATATCGTAAGAGAGACAGGCTCATCAGGAGGTCTGATGAAAATGTTCAAGTCTAAGACATCTCTTGATAAGAGTCTTTATGAAGAGCGTGATATTTTCATGTGACTTGCAAAGATCAAAATGGATACAAGTATTGAAACCCACGATAGAGTTTTGAGTAGTATTTATATGCATCTTTCTGGAAGAAATAACTGACCAAGAACAGGCCATCATTGGATCGAGGTTGGATTTCAGAATGAGGATCCTCAAACTGATATCAGAGGTTCAGGAATGCTGGGGCTAATGCAGATGCTTTATTTTTGTGAGCAGTATAATGAGCTTGCTTCGAGATATTGAAATCATTCCCAAATTCCTCAGCATAAATTCCCATTCATAATCAAATGATTTGAATTCACTACACTAGTTCTAAATGTATTAAGATCAGGAAAAATAAACAAAACATGAAACCAAAAGGGATCAATCGATGGGATCTGTAATGAATTATACAGTGCTTGAATCTGGATTTTCATGACAAAATATATCAAAACGCAGGCAAACATCAGGCACATGAATGATCTTAACAAAGAAGTTGAAGATTACATTGAAAAGAGTCCTGAAAAGGTGCTCCAACAATTCCAAGCCTTCATAAATGCATCTAAAAACCCTAGCAATGACTCTGGTGAACAAGATTTTGCTCAATACGGTCAAATAGACTCTGATGAGCAAGCCCAGCCTCCACAAATACCTAATAGGAATAGTAAATATGCAATGTAAATAGATCCTAACCTTTCAGTCTTCTTCTAAATCAAGTTCGGAATTCCTAAAGATTAATGACCTAGTCCACCTAGGATTAGGGTCTCTTTGGATAGCTTATGGAGGGCTTTCTAATGGATGTTCTTTAGTTTTAGATCCTATTTGAAGGGGATTTTGATCAGGAATTCAATAGCTGATATTCAATGTTGGGGCTGTTTAAGGGGTTTTGGGGTTTTGGGGTTTTGGGGTTTTGGGG